GCTTTGCCTAATCAGCCTTGTTGCTCACCAAGGTTTCTACTCCTTTATTTTTTTTCAAATTTTTATCGATTATTTTAACTGAATCAATGAGCGAGGGAGAGGCACAGTTACACAGTTGTTCAGGATTGGGTTTCGGCCAGACAACGCTCTGACACCCCTCCCTTCACTGGGTCCGTTTCCCACCCCCAATGCCCCCCCAGTGCCTCTGGCAGACACTTTTCTCCTCTCTCCGCCCCTCTCTCCCGCTCTCTCTCTCTCTTCCTCTCTCCCTCTCTCATATTCATCTGGTGTGACATCTCCAAAGGCCGCCGCGTCTTGGGCTGGGACTTCAACATAGGGACTTGGGGACCCCGTCCAGAGCACCCAGGAACGAAAGCCACACCCCAAACGTTGGCACGGGTGAGCCGGACATGGTGATGTGGCCAGGCAGGGCGGGAGAGCGAGGGAAGGGGTCAGTGCATGGGCTGAGTGGAGTCCCAGACAGCGCAGGTGGCCGCCGCCTTCTCGGAGAGGCTGGGGCAGATCAGGGACAACTGAGCCGAAGGCCGAGAGTGGAGGGAGGGGCGGTGAGTGGCTGGCCAGGCCTTTTGAACGCAAAAATGAAAGAATGCGCAGGAGTTTCTGTTTTCAGCTCTGGCCGGTGACCAGCCTGGACATCATGTCATCCCTCTTATCCTCAGGGGGGAGAAAAGGCAAGTGACCCAGATTCAGCCGACCCACATTTTTCCGCGCGTGCACAGACAGCCGAGGCCGGAGAGGGGGACAGCAGGGAGCGCGTCTGTCCCCGCCCTGAGCACCGCCAGGGGTGATTCCCGAGGGCAGAGCCAGGAGCGAGCCCGAGCGCGGCTGGTGTGGCCCCAAACAAGATGAAACCAAAAAACCATGAAAAGCAGCGCTGAAATCAGTCCCGGCTGTGCCCCTGACCTAGAGCAAAGGCCACGGGAATGAAATGGGCACAGACCTGGACACGGTCACTCTGGTCAGTGGGGGATGAGTGTGGCCCCCTGTGGAAGCAAATTCTGGTCAGGGCGAGCTGCAGTTTTAGGGGGGCCCAACCTTTCCTATTTTTGCTTTTGGGGGGGTCACACCCAGCAATGCAGAGGGGTTCCTCCTGGCTCTGCACTCAGGAATTACCCCTGGCGGTGTGGTGCTCGGGGAACCCTATGGGATGCTGGGAATCGAACCCGGGTCGGCCGTGTGCAAGGCAAACGCCCTCCCTGCTGATCTATTGCTCCAGCCTCCAGGGACCAGCCTTTCTGAATTTTATGTCTCTTCTTCCTCAGGGCTGTGGCAGAGAAGTCTGAAACAATAGCAAGAAGGTGACGGACTGTGTGTGTGTGTGTGTGTGTGTGTAGGGGGTGGGGGGAGGAGTGGGTTCGTATACCGCACCGCCACAGAAACGGCTGGAAGAGGAGGGCTTGGGTGTGCTGGCGTCCTGTGCAGGCTTAGGGTCGCGAGGCCCTGGGTTTGCTCCCCCAGTCACCAAGGGGTATAATCCCGGTGACCCCGTGAGCCAGAGTCCAGCCAGAGGTGACCCCAGGGGCCCCAAGCACTGGCCGATGTGCTGGTGCCCCCGTGGTCATTTCAGCGCCCCCAAACACCTGTGCCCACGGTGCTGCCCCCCACACCCCCGCCCAGGAGCCTGTCGACCTGCGGGACTGAGCTCAGCGCGTCCCCCTGAGCCGTGCTCAGAGCCCCTCTCCTTGCCCCAGGAACCCACTTTCTGTCTCCTGCCATCCAGGAAACGGGGGCGGCCCCCAGGAACGCCACGAGGCCAGCACCTCGCAGGGCACTGGGTGGAGGGGGAGCGGGGTGCGCCTGCCTCCTGGGGGGCGACCAGCCTCACTTTCGGGGCCTCGCCCTTGGGCCTCGGGCACGCTCCCTGCGCCAGACGGTCTCTCAGGGCCAGCCCTGGCCTGACCAGAGCATGCTGCCGGCTCTCGCCCAGCGGAGAAGTGCACCTGCCCCCGCCCCCCAGCTCTGAGCGAGGTCCCCCAGCACGTGGATCCTCCCAGAGGCACCAACGCCGCACCCCACAGCGGGTCCAGCTTGCCCTGGCTGAGTTTGGTTTTTGCTTTCTTGGGGGCGTGCCCTGCAGTGCTCAGGATCACTCCTGGTGGGGCTCAGGGAACTCATCTCAGAGCCGGGACCCACTGGAGTGGCCACAAGCAAGGTCGGCGCCTTCCTGGCCCTCCGGCCCTGGCTGGCCACGCAGTGGTCCCAGGAGGGGCACGTGTCTGGGGGTGGTGCACCGACCCCCGGGGACCCTGGCAGCCCCCTGCTCCTGCACCTGGACACACACTGATGGCCACCAGGGCCCGGGGATCCCTCGGGGTACCTCTGGCAGGTTGCCGGGAGCACCTTGGGGCCTCCTGGGAGCACGGGCACGCCGGCCGCCAGGATCTGGCTTCAGTAGGGGGTTTGTTGGAGCCCGTTGCCCTCGTCCTCAGGCCCGTCTTGCTGGAGCAGGTCCCACGCACCCCTCGCCCCGGCCCAGCACTGGTCACTCACTTCCTGCCTGCCCTCGCTCCGGCAGATCCTCCCCAGCGACTCGCGGGCCACCTCAGCTGCGAGCCTTTGAGGGGTGTCGCCCCGAGGACGTGCCAAGGGGCCCACGGTGAAAACGGCACAAATGGGGGGTGGTCACTACACGAGACTAGGGACCGAGCCGCCCAACACGCGGGAAAGACCCAACGGGGCCCCAGACAGAGGCTGGGAACTCGGCTCTTGGTGGCCAGCGGGGGAAGGGATATTTCGGACCCTGAACGCTTCGTCAGGCCTTGCTGCCTAACGCCCCCTGGGCCTCCAGCAGGCCACACGGCAGCAGGGGGCCCCTCTCCAGCCCCCCAGGTGCCTCCAAGGGTTGTGGCGGGCGGGGGGGGGCAAGACAAGGCAGCCGCGAAGTAAAAAGCCTCTTTCCAAAGAGTTGTAAAATTTATTGTGTGAGTATTGCAGCCGCAGATGCCGCCACGGCCCGACGGCTGATACAGACGCAGCGCCACCAGGCCTGTGGGTCGCACCCCCGGGGCTGCGCCCAGCGTGCCCCCGACAGTTCCGACGGTCAGCGTGGACAGGAGCTCCCAGCCGGCCACCCGGAGGCGCTGCGGGCGCTCACTCCACTGGGGTCACCTTCAGCTCTTCGCAGAAACACCTTGAGGGGGGTGGCGGGCGCCATAGTGCACTTTGGGGGCTTTGCAGGGAGAAACGCGCAGGCAAGCGGGGAAAGGGGGAGATTAGAGGAAGCTGCTCCGTCCCCCTTCTGAGCCCCACCTGGTCCCCTTGCAACCAGCCACTTGAAGACCCCCTAACTCTACTGGGAAAGGGGGGCCAGGGAAACCACACGCCACGCCGCCGTGGGCACACGGGCACGGCGCCCTCCGGTTCTGGGGTGCAGCTGAGAAGCCCAGTTCGGCTCCGGGGAACTTTCCGGCACACCAGCCAGCTGCCCCCCAGCCAGCCACGGGCATGAAGCCTGGGGCACCCCAACCAGCAGAGGCCCCGCTCCCGGCCTGCGTCCGGGGGGCCCACTGCAGCTGCAGCTAAGACGAGCCCGGTCTGGGGGGCCCCGAGACTCAGTGCAAGCTCACGGGGGCGGGGCAGGGGGGCCGGTGTGCGACCCCCGGGAGCGACATGCAGGGCGAGAGGCGGCCTGACCCAGCCAGACCCCTCCTGGGCAGGGCGGGTGGGAGTCCGGAGAGCAGAAGCCCTTTGCCCACCCCGAGGGGGGGTCCCGGAGAGCGAGGCCCGACAGCCCCCGCTGCCCCAGTAAGGCACTGAGGAGATGCCGCAGCGGCATCTGACGGTGTCCCTGTACCTTCCGGGCAGGGCCTGGGGAGTCCCGGGGGGCGCTTGCCCCCACCCCCCGGCTCCGGGATCCCAGCAGGGCCCTCCTCCCCTTTGGGATTGTTTTTCAAGTAATAGCGGTCGCTGGCCCCGGGCCGAGCAGCCACCGAGGGGCCGTGTCCAGGCTCCCCCGAGGAGGGAGGGGTGGGGGGGAGGCCCCACCGGGGTGCCAGGGCACCTCCACCCTGCACCCAAGTTCTCGACCTTCACGTCCCCCACCCAGATCTACTGGGGCACACACCCCAAATGCCCAAGAGCAGGGGTGGGGGGGAGGTGTGCCCACCCCACCGCACCCCCCTCGCTGCGAGGGTTGGCAAGAGGACAGGGAGAGAGGTGGGGGGTGGGGGGTCCCTGGGAGTCGGGTCTCCTGGAAGGCGCCCCCAGGCTGCAACGAGCGCACAGGCCACGGGTGTCACCAGGCGCCGCACCCCGGCCTGCAGGGACAGATGGGAGTGCCTGCGGGCTGCGGCGCCCCAGACAGCCGCGCCTCTGCACTGTGGAAAGGCGTCTCCTGGCCCTGGCGGCGTCTGCGGGGGGAGGGAGGGTCTGCCGGGCGCCCCCGCCACCTCCCGCCTGGTCCCCGAAGGCCTCCACCGACAGAAGTTTCCGGCGAACAAGCACTGATATCTTTATATTAAAAAATAGTGCAAAAGCTCAACATTTATATAAATAACTCTGAACCCCTGCTCCGTGATGCTCTTCTCTTTACAAGGTACCACGCGCCTTCCGAGTTGGCACTCAAAATCTGCCTTTTGTTCTCTTCTAGTTCAGAAAACAGCTTATTTTTTTTTCTGTGATAGGCCTCTGCTAATACAAAAATACTCCTGCCCTCGCAATACTTTCTCTTATTTTATATATATTTATAGATATAATATTGCAGATCTTTAAACAAAAGGTTTGTGCAAATATGTCTTTAAAGTTACGTGAAATCGTGAGACCCAGGCAAGAAGCGTCCAGGCCGGCGGCCAGGCAGGAGCTGGAGGCAGCGGGGGGCGCGCTCCGCCCTGGGCCCCCGTCCACCCCCGAGCAGCCCACCGGGGCCGGGGCCCGGCCGCGCTCGCTCGGCCCGCACAGGGCGTGGAAAGACCCACGGAGCCACCGGGCGGCGGGCAGGCCGTGCCCCCGGGTGCCCAGAGCGGGTGGCGGCCCCCGGGCCCCTAGAGCGCCGGTCCCTGCGGCTTCTCCTTGTCCTTGCTCCAGCCCGCAGTGCTCTCGGGGGAGATGTGCGCGGGCGGCAGGCGGGTCCCCTCCAGCAGGGCGGGGGGCGCGGGGCCCGGGTAGTGGCCGACGACCTCGCTGTAGGTGGGGGGCGGGCCCTCCATGCGCCCGCCGCCCCCGTAGCCCGCGGCGCTGATGCCCGAGTTGCTGCTGGGCGGGCAGGGGCCCCCCAGCGCGGCGCCGTCCATCAGGTCCGAGTCGAAGACGGTTCGGTTCGGGGGCGCGCGCACCGACTCGCGGTTCAGCTCCAGCTGCTGCTCGGGGTCCCGCAGCTGGAGCGTGCAGGGGCCCTGGTAGGGCGGCGGCTCCTCCCCGTCCGACAGCGAGATGGTCGGGGGCAGGTCGATGTGGTGCTGCAGGTACGGGTAGGTGGGCTGGAAGCGCTGGAAACGGTCCCGCGGCGCGAAGGGCGGCACGGCCAGGCGGTCGGGGGCCCGCGGCTGGGCGTAGGGCTGCGGGCAGAGCAGAGGCAGGGTCGGGGTGGGCTGGGGTGGGCTGGGGCCGGCCGGTGCCCGGAGCACCTGTCCGCGCCAGTCCCGGACAGGGGGTGTCACGGGCCCCGGGGAGGGGCGGGGGGGCTGTGTGACCCCGACGGTCTCCCCAGGGGCCTGCTACCCGTGCGGAGGGGCGCGGGGACTCACCTCCGGGAGTCCAGTGCCGGACACGGTGCTGTCCGAGGCCCAGAGGCAGCCTTCCTGCGTGGGGAGCAGACAGAGCCCGCGGTTACTGTGTGGACAGACAGTCAGACAGACAGACGCCCCGGCCCACATGCCCCGGCCCACATTCCCCGTCTGTCCCCACGACACTCTTTCATTCTTCAGGATGGGAAACGGTCGCCTGAGGCCCCTTCCTGTGTCCAAGCCCTCCAGCAGCGGGGGGTGGGGAGTGCTGGACAGGAGGGCAGTGACCCCCAACAAACACGGGACTGCCGCTCCCAGGCTCTGAGCCCACTGGGGGGCCCCCAAACCAAACCCAAGCAATGGCCGCGTGACCCACCAGGCTGCCCAGGCGAGAGGCTCTCAGGGCGAGGGCGGTCACCCCCAAGTGGTCACTGGGGGGCTCCTCGACTGGGTGGGCCCTGGGCCCCACACCCCAGGCACCGGGGTGCGGAGAACCAGCGGCTGTCCACCCAGGAAACGGCGATCACTTTATCGAGCTGGGCCTGGGTCACTCTGACGCAGCCTCTGAACCCTCCCCGCACGCCCTCGGCAGGCTGGGGGCCCCAGACCCAGCCCGTCTGCGAGTCTCCGCCATAAGCAGCCAAAGCGTGACCCAGACGGGCTCGGCTCACAGCCTCTGTGTGTGAGGGGCTCCGGCCAGCAGACCGGCACCACTCACCAGCCCCACCACCTGGCTGCCCCCAGCAAGCCCCCTCCTCCAGGGAGGCTTCCAGGAACCCCCAAGCCATCCACCCTTCCGTCCCCCCGCCCACTGCAATCCCCGTGAATCTACCTCAAACACTAGCCCAGGCCTACACCCCCCACGCCCCTTAGCCCCACCTGGGGACTCCCCGGTTCCAACCCGCACCCACCTCCGTCACACCCCACGGAAGGTGGGTGGCGGGGGCTGGGGGGACACCCCGCTGCCCCCGGAGGTGCCCCCGGCTCCTCCGTCCTGGTCCCTGCTTTCCTCCACGCCCCGAGGCGGCCAGGCCTTGCCGTGACCCCCCGGGGGCAGTGGGACACTCGGTCCTGCCGCCCAGCTGCTGGCCTCGCTGCCCACCCGAATGACGTGGGTAAGCGTGGCCCCTCATCTCCTGTGACTCGGGGGCCTTTTCTGACCCCCCCTTTGCCCGGTGGCTGACTCGGGGAGCAGGAGGCCCCAGGCCCTCCCCTGACCCGAATGCAGGGGTGCAGCGGGGGGAGCAGTAAAGGTCGCAAAGGAGTGGGAGGTCATGGGGAGCCGGGCTCTCGGGGCTGCAGAGGGCCCGTGGCCCTGCCCGCCGCACCCCTGCCAACGGGGGCACTTCTGCGTTCAGATAAGCCCCGGCCCTTGGCTCCCGGGGCGCGTCCCCCCGGGGCTCTGCACCCCACCGGGCTCAGCACCAGGCGGGCAGCGGGCTCTATTGGAACAGACGCCCCAGACACGCCCTGTCAGCCGAGGGGTCCCCGGGAACACAGCGACTCTGATCTCCAGGACTGACGAGGCGTCATGGGGGGTCCCCGGGGCCCGGTGGCTGCAGGGAACGGAACACAGAGCAGGCAGCAGGCCTGGGTGCTCCGCGAGGGTGAGCTCGCTGCCCCTGTGGCCACGATGCCGCCCCCACCCCAGGGACCCTGCCCCACCCCAGGGTCTTCCCATCCACTTGGTCTTCGAAGCTGTGTGGCCTCAGGCAAACGTCCCCACCTCTCTGAGCCCCGATTCCCCTCTGAAATGGAGTTCCAGGCTGGGAACCGCAGCAGATCGCACGCATGTCAGCGGGATGGCACCACGGCCGGGGCACACGGGGCAACCCCCAGGCTGCAGAAGGCGCGGCGGGTTGCTTCAGAACCGCGGCCTGCGTGGCCTTCTGGCATGGCGGGGCCGGGTCTGGCCACCTGCCTTCCCGGCACAGGGACTGGAGCAAGACGTCCCTGGCCCTGGCCCCCATGACGCACTGAGGCTGCGGCCTGACGCAGGTGGCAGGGCCCGGACCTGTGGGGACAGGCCTGGCCGTCCCAGTTGGCTCAGCCCCACACTCGGGCCCTGCTGCCAGCCCCAGGTGTCCCCGCGTCCGGAGGCCACGCCCAGAAGCACCAGCTCCCCGGGGCCTGTCCCCAGAGCCCAGCATGCACACTGGGGAGAGGGGCCCCTCGCTGCCCTGGTGGGGGCAGCTTCCACGGGGCAGAAGACGACACCCGTGCCCACCCACGCCTACCGCCTGGCCCTCTGCTGAGCGGCGTCTCAAGGGGATGGGAGTGGGATTTCCAGGGCAACTTGTGAGGCTCATGACTCAGCAACACCCCAGCCCAGGAGGGCCGCAAAGGGCAGAGGACAGCCCCCCCAACCCCCCGCCCTTGCCGCCACCCTCAGGAAGACCTTCCTGCTGAAAGGCCCCGCACGGCTCCTGCCCCAGCAAGCGGACAGGGTCAGGAGGGACGGTGGGCAGGGGCGAGGAGCAATGTGTGGCCGGACGGGGTGAAAGAAGGCTGGGTGGATGGAAGGATGGACGGGATGGGAAGGACGGATGGACACGTGGATGGATGGATGGATGGATGGATGGAGGAGTCGGTGGGCAGCCTGCTGGGGGGGCGGGGCTGGACAGCCGAGGAGATGGTAGGTAGAGGATGGGCAAGGGGTGAGCTGTGGGCGGAGGGGCGAGTGGGACAGGTGGAGCATCAGGTGGGCGGATGTGCGGGCAGACAGATCCCTGAATGCGTGAACGGACAGATGGTGACAGGAGATGGCTGGGCAGAGGAGAAGCCATGGACGTGCTGGCCCAGTCCCCCCACTGTGCTATGCCCCAACCCGGGGGAGGTGGACACAGCCCCCTGCATCAAATGCTGGGAATGGACCCCACACACAGCCCAGGGCCTGGCCAGAGGGACACGGCAGGACTCGGGAGCTCAGGGGACCCTGCTGTCCACAAGGCTCGAGTCCCCGCCCGGAGGCCAGGGGCGGGCGGGCAGTCGCCGAGGTCAGGGGCGGGCGGGCACTCACCGAGGACAGCGCGTCGTCCCTCCGGCGGGCCTGGCTGTGCCGCCCCATGAAGGAGCGCGCCGACAGCTTGTAGTGGCTCAGCAGGCACGTGATCACCACCACCATCACCATCACCACCACCACGATGACCGTGATCTCCACGAACTCCAGCTCGGCTGCCAGGGAAGGAAGGAGCGGGGGAGGGAGGTGAGTCCTGGGACGGGGGGGGGGGGGGGGGGGGGGGGGCTCCCGGGGAGGCGCCCGCCCCGCCCCCGCAGCAACAAGCCCCGCCCCTTCCCTCCCCTCCCACGGCGGCAGGCCCCGCCCCCAGGAAGACACCCGCCCCGCCCCCGCAGCAACAAGCCCCTCCCCTCCCCTCCCACGGCGGCAGGCCCTGCCCCTCCCCTCCCATGGCGACAGGCCCCGCCCCCAGGAAGACACCTGCCCCACCCCCGCAGCAACAGGCCCCGCCCCTTCCCTCCCCCGGCGGCAGGCCCCGCCCCCAGGAAGACGCCCGCCCCACCCCCGCAGCAACAGGCCCCGCCCCTTCCCTCCCACGGCGGCAGGCCCCGCCCCTCCCATGGCGACAGGCCCCGCCCCCAGGAAGACACCCGCCCCACCCCCCGCAGCAACAGGCCCCGCCCCTTCCCTCCCCTCCCACGACGGTAGGCCCCGCCCCTCCCCTCCCATTGCGACAGGCCCCGCCCCCAGGAAGACACCTGCCCCACCCCCGCAGCAACAGGCCCCGCCCCTTCCCTCCCACGGCGGCAGGCCCAGCCCCCAGGAAGATACCCGCCCCGCCCCACCCCCCCGCAGCAACAGGCCCCGCCCCTTCCCTCCCACGGCGGCAGGCCCCGCCCCTCCCATGGCGACAGGCCCCGCCCCCAGGAAGACACCCGCCCCACCCCCCCGCAGCAACAGGCCCCGCCCCTTCCCTCCCCTCCCACGACGGTAGGCCCCGCCCCTCCCCTCCCATTGCGACAGGCCCCGCCCCCAGGAAGACACCTGCCCCACCCCCGCAGCAACAGGCCCCGCCCCTTCCCTCCCACGGCGGCAGGCCCCGCCCCCAGGAAGATACCCGCCCCGCCCCACCCCCCCGCAGCAACAGGCCCCGCCCCTTCCCTCCCACGGCGACAGGCCCCGCCCCTCCCATGGCGACAGGCCCCGCCCCCAGGAAGACACCTGCCCCACCCCCGCAGCAACAGGCCCCGCCCCTTCCCTCCCACGGCGGCAGGCCCCGCCCCCAGGAAGATACCCGCCCCGCCCCACCCCCCGCAGCAACAGGCCCCGCCCCTTCCCTCCCACGGCGGCAGGCCCCGCCCCTCCCATGGCGACAGGCCCCGCCCCCAGGAAGACACCCGCCCCACCCCCCGCAGCAACAGGCCCCGCCCCTTCCCTACCATGGCCCAGGGCAGTAGACCCCACGCCCACGGAGGCATCTGCCCCACCCACCACAGCAACAGGCCCTGCCCCTTCCCTCGCCACGTCGGCAAGCCCCGCCCAGCAACAGGCCACGCCCCTTCCCTACCCCGGCCGCCCCGCCCTAGAACGGCGGCAGGCCCCGCCCCTGCCCTATCAGGGCGCCACCCACCCCACCCACTGCAGCTATAGGCCCCTACCACGGCGGTAGGCCCCGCCCCAAGCAGTCACCCACCCCACCCACTGCAACAACAGGCACCGACCACGGCGGCAGGCCCCGCCCCACCCGCTGCGGGGCTCCCAGCTCGGCCTTCCCCCGCGCCTCTGCGCACGCAACCTTCAAGCACCACAGCCTGTGTCACCCCGTGTCCCCAACACCCCCAGCGGCCTCGAAGGACCCGAGAAGAGAAGGGGTGGGGGCTACAGCTGCTGGGGTTCTCAAGTCGCGCTTTTTTTTTTTGCCAGAAGCCGGGGGTCCCCACCTGAGCAGCGCTGATCCCGCGGGGCTTGAGGTTCCGCCGTGGGGGCAGCCACAGCAGAGGCCAGTCCTGGGCAGTGACCGGGCCAGCTGCCCCTGACATCCCCGGCACAGGCGGGGGGGAGGGGAGGGCTGAGACCCTCAACAGAGGGTCCTGCAGGGGCAGCTCAAGTTCAGGGCGGTCTCCCTCCCCCTCCCCCCCAACACAGTGGGAAGCTGACGGGGCTCTCCCCACTCCCCTCCCCTGCCACTGAGTGTCCAGGGTGGGCCACTGTCAGGACTCCCCAGAGTCACCCCCACCAACTTCCTCCCCTCTCACCCTGCACCGTCTGCGGGTGAGGCTGTGGGGGCCAGAGGCACCGTCTGGGGCGGTGGACAGACGACCCGGGGGTGTCCCTGCTCCAGAAGGTGGTGCAGCGGCCCAGAGGCCAAGGGACACTCGGGGAGGCCGGGCATCCCGGGCGCTGGCTCACGGCCCCGGCTGGGGGAGGAGGGACTGGCGTCTGGGCCAGGCCAGGCTGGGCGCTCCCGGTGGGAACTGGGCCACGCTGGGCACCCTCACTTTCCCGCCAGGAGGGCGGCCCCAGCTTGGGCCCAGGCCAGGCCTCGGGGCCTCAGCCAGCGACTGGCCACACCCCCCACCCCCCAGACAGGCGGGCCCAGGGCCCGGCCCGGCCTTCTGGTAGGTCCCAAATAAAGCCGGCTATTCATCGGACACAGGACGCTTTGTCCCCCACCCACAGGCCCCTCCTCCGGGGCCCTGCCCCCACTCCCATGCACTCTTCGCCCCTGCCCCTCGCCGCCCTGCCCACACTGCCAGTCTCCAGACATCCAGGGCGCCACTGGGCAGCTGAGCAAACCCTCCCCTGGGCCAGCCCCGCCGGGTGGGGGCCGGAAGGGCTGACGCCTCAGTGCCCACCTGCTCCCAGGGCCCAGGAGTCCTGGGGGGATGGGGGGGACACGCCAGAGGTACCCGGTAGACGGACGGCATGAGGGCCGGGTGCCACCCCCAGATCTGGTAGATCCGGGGCAGCACCAGGAGCTCTGCTGGGGTCCAAGGGAGCCCCGGGCCAGGTGGGGGACTCGGCCCACCCCAGAGCGGTTGGGGTGGGGGGGTGGCTGGGGTCCTGCTGACACGGGGTCCCTCATCATGTCTGCACCCCACACAGCTGCTTCCGGAGGGGAGTAGGGGACAGTCTCACAGGGCCGGGCTGCAGGCCGGCACCCCCATCCCGAACGTGGCAGCAGCCAAGGGGGTCTCCAGGCCCTGCGCAGCTCCCTGCAGGGGGGACTTCTGCCACAAGAGCGGCTCAGGACCTCCATGGACCTTGGCTCAGTTTCCCTGATCTGACGAGCTTCTCCTCGCCAGGATGTGGGGGGCAGGTCCCACTCCCAGCCGCAGACCCTGGTTACCAGTTAGTTCTCCAAGGCCCCCGCAGGCCCAAACCTGGTCACTCAGTTCAGGAGAGAGGGTTGGGGGTCTGGGCTCCCCCGGGGAACCAGGTAACATGGGTCCAGGTCTGGGACGTGGGCACCAGCGCCTTCCCTGTACAGGCAAGTAAACTGAGGCACAGGGGGACGCTGCCCAGGCACTCGGCCCCACTGACCACGAGCCAGGGTTCTCTGAAAGGGGTGCTGGCGTTCTGGGGGCGACCACTTTCCCCCAGCAAAGCTCCAGCCAGCACGGGCCTGTCTGTTTCACGGCCTCTCGCCTGAGAACAATTTCAAATTAACGGTTCTCCCGCCTCGTGGGCGAGCCTGGGCGTCTAGACGGCCTTCCTCCTGGGACAGGTGCCCGCGGCCCGGGTCTCCAGGCCGCCTGGACGGAACCGAGCCGCCTCCCTCCGGCCCATCCTGAGTTCTCACGTGTCCTGTGCACAGACTCACACACTTGACAGGTTTACAGATGGAGAAAGGGGCTCCCGGCGTGGGGGCTGGCTCGTCTCGTCCCGGCCGCCGAGAAACCCGCCCTCTTCCCAATAAAATGAGAGAACAGAATGGCCTCGAAAGGAAACCACCTGAGGCCGGCCTGAGCACCGCAGGCGGGAGCCCCAGAGCACTGCGCCGGGAGCTACCGCGAAACACAAATACACAAAAGCATTTCCAGGAAGACAGTCCTCCAGGGCGGGGCCGTCGCTCTCCCGCCTCTCCAGGGACACCCCAGCGCCCAGACAAGAAGCCCAGGGCTGGGGCCGGTCTGCACCGGCCCTGAGCCGGGCCCACCTGGCCACGCCGGCAGCCCCCAGGTTTCCAGCCCAGACACCCCCAGCCCCGGCTCCCCACCCCCGCCTGCCCAGAGAGGGGGGCCGGGGGCAGCTGGCGTCCCTCCCAGCTAACAAGCGGCCCGGGCAGGCGGCCCTGTCTGGCCTCCCGGCCGCACACCGAGGAATTAGGAATTGGCACTGTCTGAAATTTATGAAAATCTAATCTTGTTAGAACTGCCCGATGAGACCGGGGCCGGCCTCATTGAGATTCCGCGGAGCCCGCCGGCCCCCGCCCCCCGAATTCAAACAACAGCCCAGCCTCCCGCCATGTCAGACACCCCAAGGCACGCTTCATTTCCTCGGAGTCAGATCGTTTAGAGGTTTCGAGAAAATCACAGAAAGAGGAAATCTGTCCCGAGGTTTCTGCAGGGGCAGCGAATCTGGGCCAGCCTGCTGGTGCCCGTGCCAAGGCCGCTCCTGGACCCCGGGGGACCGGGCACCTGCAGGCTGGCGAGGGCCGGGTTCTGGGGACGCACGCGGGAACGGGGGGGGGGGGGTAGCAGAACAGACCCCCACTGGGGACAGTCGGAGAAGGCCCGCCGTGAGGCCCCTGCTCTGCGGCGGCCAACAGGGCATCAGGGTCTGTTCCAGCCGCAGGAACACAGCGACAAGCCAGGAGGGTCCTGGGCAGCCCCGGCACTTAGCCCCCACCCCTTGCTCCTGCGCCTGTGCCCCCGATACTCCAGACTCCCAGAGACTTCGGTGCTCTGAACTCTGCCCTCTCACCTCCTTCCTGTCTCTCCCCCCGGTACCCTACACCTGGTACCCGTGTGTTTCTGCAACGGTTCCTCTGGTCCCCTCCTCTCCCTCCAGACGCGTAGCGCTCCTCTGTTCCACTCTGCGACCACTCCGACGCTCCCCTACCCGTCCGTTCCCTCCTGCGTCTGTGCTGGCGTTTCCACGTGGCTGCCACCTGCTCCACCCCCTGTGCTTTCCTACCTCCTCCTAAACTCCCTGCGGCCTCCACACTTTTCCTCCTTCTCCCTTCTCTAGCCCCTGACACATCTCTCCTTTC